GGCAGCGGTTGGGGCAGAAACAAAGAGACGTTGTCCGCGAACTGAAACAATATACCGACCAAATTTCGGCAGCGAACAACTTTAGATGTGGAGTCGAGCTATTAACACTTTTATTGACTCCGTTCCAGTCAACACTGGAGTCTCACCAGCCATAGCAGAACAAGAACTCGTGTTACCACATGAAATTTCGTTCTGAATATTTTCGCTGGTTAAAACCTCATGCAGAATAGACCCTGCTAACTAAAATCTTGCGTAGTATCATTGTGATTGCTTGTTTAAGTATTGGTCGGATATGCTTCAAAGTTGGAGACCAGCAAAGAGAACAGATCATATGCCATATTTTTTCTCTTGATTGAGTATCTGTAAASGTTTTCTKTGTTTTGTAAAATTGGCAGAGAGTCATCTTGTATTAACTCCTTACTTATGGGCAAACTCTCAATTCGGACTAGTGCTGTTAATAGTTGAATCATCTAAAGGGCGAAAACATTCAGAAGCGGCCAGTTTGAAGCAATAAAAGTGGAATTATAATCTATCCACATATCGATAGTAATCGCCAGAAGCTGCGGGAGCTTGGTTAGGAGGTTCTAATGCGTCTACCGTGTAGTGGACTTATTCCTCAAGTTGTCTCCAGCCTCCAGTGACTTCCGCAAATCAATTTAATTGGCTGCAGTAGACTCATAACGCGTTCCTCAAAGCACATTTTTCAGTTCCGAAAACAGAAAACAGTCATAGAAAGCTAAATCTTGCGAGTACGGTAGCTGGGCGGTTACTCTCGCTTCGAGGTTGGACGAAAAGTCTATCACCTAATTTTTTTTTAATGGAGCATTAGAATAGATATCCAATTTTATAAATTTATAAAAAAAAATTATTTCGATGGCGATTAATACAAAAATTATTACCAAATCCTAGCCTACCTCAGGTCTTTTCAGGTGTTATACAAAAAAAGTGAAATTTTTTACGTGTTTATCATTGCTTTAGTATTAACATAGATGGTCCAATCGAAAGCCATATTGTTATTCACTCAATTCTCCTTAAAATTTGTAAAAAGAAAAAT